GAAGCACCATAAAAAGTTATCCACTTTACCAAAACATATATAATTTTTAATATGATATTACTCTTTATTCCAATATCCACAATCTTCAGATCTCGCCAGTAGATACAGAGGTGTAAAAATCACTAGCCCAATACCTGGAACTACCAGATTTTGAGTTTGAATTACACTGTAAATTACAGATGTACTACCACAGGTCTAGTGTGGTTCTGATATTCAATTATTAAAATTAAAAAAAAGGACTATGCCAAAAAATGATTAAGACCAGTTATCTATTTATCATCTATAGGCTAATCCATTTTGAAACTGATATACAAACACGTGACTGAGTTATAAACTTGTAAGTTAAAATATTCAGATATTTACTCCCATGTTTATAACATTATCTAACTTGCATGATAATTTTTTGCTGGAATTAGAATATTTATTTAATGCAAAGTTTTATTGATACAAGATGAAAAAGCTGTGTATGGGTGAAATAATTCCACAGCTGTTTACAAAGGTAATGGAAAAAAAAAAAGAAGTGGTGTTTGAAATATCAGGCTGTCATGTGTATTGGTTTGATTGCATTACATATGTATATGTAGACTGGATAACTTACCCAGAGGTTTGACGTCTATATAGGTGTGTGTATGTGTATGTATATTCTGAATTAAATATTCTTTTTAGTTTTGTAATATTGTGGAATAAGTCATTTCAACGAATACAGATATGTATATATAGTGTATAATAATTTAGTCTTCATAATGAAAATAGTTGATCTAGTATATAAATATTCTAACAAGATATTCATCAAGCATTTCAAGAACAAGTAACATCCCTTCTTACAACTTGATCTAAAAATTACATTTCATTAATATTCATACATAACAAGCTTTTTCCTGTGTCAGTTTATCTGATACCAAAAAAATTAAAAACTTCAATACATTTTCTATTAATTAAAATTATTATAAGGCAGTATTTATTATACATAACAAAGATTTTTTAAAAATTTGTTTTGTACAATTATTCATTACATAATGAAAGGAAAGTTTGTTTTTCAACTGTTAGGAAATTCAAATGCAGAACAGTGAATGTTCTTCTGTTCTTTTTTCAAACAAATTATATGAATTAGCATGGGCTTTTGAATTTCAATTTTTCAAGTAATTTTAGCTTGAAATCATTTTCGTTTTTGTGTGCTTACTTTTCAATATATCAAAATACTGAAATTTAGTTGGTTTTTTCCTAATGATATTTGTAACATTATCAAACTTCAGAATTGAGAACCTTATCTAGTATTCTGATGACTGGTTAAGTGTAATAATATTTCGTTGCAGGTTCTGAAAATGTTGAAGAAAGTTCTACAGAACTTGAAGAAATTCAAAAAGAAAATGTATTTGGTTCATGTAAAAAGCAGATACAAGTCAAAACATGTAGCAATTCTACAGAAAATGGACCAGTAAAAAATCATGGTCTTAAATCATCTTTTGCAAGAAAAATGTCGTTTAGTTGTGATGTTTGTGGGAAAAGTTTTAAAAGGAGTCATCACTTGAAACGTCATGAGATTGTACACACTGGAGAAAAACCTTTTTGTTGTGATTTGTGTGGGAAACAGTTTGCACGTACTGAAGTCCTGAAGAGACATCAGTTACTTCACACTGGAGAAAAACCATTTACTTGTACAACATGTGGAAAATGTTTTAGAATGAGTCATCATTTAAAGTTACATCAGATTCTGCACACTGGAGAGAAACCTTTTCCATGTGATATGTGTGGAAAAAATTTTAGGACAAGTGGACATCTAGAACAACACAAGGTTCAACATACAGGAGAAAAACCATTTGTTTGTAATACTTGTGGGAAAAACTTTAGCAGGAGTCATCATTTAAAATTACATGAAAGTGAGCATAGTGGAGAAAAACCATTTACTTGTAATGTGTGTGGGAAAAATTTTAAAAGAAGACACCATTTAAAAGTACATCAGGCTTTGCACACTGCAGAGAGAGCATTTCCATGTGATGTATGTGGTGAAAAGTTTAGATCCAGTGGGAATGTTAGACAACATATGTTAATACATATGAAAGAAAAACCATTTACTTGTATTATATGTGCGAAAAGTTTTCGAAGGCGTGTTAATCTAAGAGAACATTATTTGCTACATTCTGGAGAGAAACCATTTAGATGTGAGGTATGTAGCAAAACATTTATACGAAGTGGAGATTTAAAACGACATGCGCTGAAGCACACTAAAGAGAAACATTGAGTGAACTTTAGGAGCTAGAAGCAAAAATTCACAACAGTTTCAGTTGAATCTCATTGAAGAAGGGCTTTCAAGTTGTGTTCTAAATGTGTATGGCCAAATGAAAACTTAAATTAGCAATTAAACTAATAATTTCTGAAGTTTGTTGGAAAAAATTATCTTGAAAAATAAAATAAAAAGTAATGTTTTATTTAAATTATTTTTAAGAACTATGAAGAGTAACAGAAATTTTGAGTACCGATCTTCTGTACAATAAGTAAACAGTTGCTAAATGTTATGTACTGTTAAAATACAAGATTTTGAGGAGCAACTCTTGAAGGGCCTTGAACTTGCTCGTCTTTGTAATGGTAGAACTTGGGGAATCTCACTGACCAATATTTCTGATGATCTATTGGAACAACTGTGTTTATGAAATTTTAAAATTACACAAACTCTCTGATTAAAACTGAAATTTTAATTTTTAAATGGTTTTATTTAAAAATCAGTTTCATTAGAAAAAAAAATCAATGATGTTAGTATTACAGTTAACTCAACACAAAAACAGCACAACAGTAAAATTAGTTAATTTATCATTCACTAAATTATAATTGAAAGTAGTCAGGTGTCTTAAAAGTTAATTTTCCTGGTAATGATGTTGATATTCTAGAGTGCACTACAAACTTTAAAAAAAAAAGTTTATTGTTTGATTTAATTTATCAGCAATGGTGAAAGGTCACTTAGTTCCAAGAATAAAGGTTGAAAGAAATTTATTTTGAAACAAAAGACCAAAGTTGTGCTTAACACTACTGAAGTATAACTATTGGAGCAAATAATTTTGTGAAATCCTAGCCTTTGTCTTTTGACTCTTGCACATCTCAGTTCCAAGGTCCTAGATAATTTGTGACATTATGAAATTCCAAACTCTTTTTGACAACTGTAACAGTTACTATTGGTATAAAAGTTTGTATATTTTCATGGTTTTTAAATATGTATATATATTGTGTGGAAAAATGATGTCTTTAATTGCATGTAGAGACCAAATGAAACATAACTCTTCATCTTAGAATTATTTTATTGTTTATTTTGCTACCATTCTTGTTTTGTTTTAAATGAATTTACATTGCAGTCTTTTGTTTTTTGATACAATACTCAACAGCATAGTGTTCTTTAATGTCAGTATGTTGTGGTTCCTTAACTTAAATCGATGAATGTTTAACACTATATTGTGATAACTGTAGTATATCTTCTGCTATACTTATCAACATAGTGGACTAAAATAACTTCAGCATCCTTGACTTTCAAAGTCCAAGACAATATAGCTAAGTTTGAGTGAAGCTTCAATATGTGATTATAATTTCACTTCTCATTTAAAGAGATCCTTGCTGTCAGAAGTTAATGCTGTTATAAAACTCAATTGCAATGTAGCTATTCTGTATATAATCAAAACATGAACTGGAATGTGGTTTGTGGCATATTTATTATAAATATTTTTTCCTATCTTTTAGATTTTGAGACTGGTTCAATCTACTTTTTTTTAAATCAATATAACAGGTATAGAACAAGGAATATAAGACATTAAAAACGAGTTTTAACAGCAAGTGTGACATTAAAATGAACTAGGATTTAATAAAACCATTTCTTGTACTGTAAAAATAGGTTGATTTATTTTGAATAATTTATGCTGTTTCATGTAACTAAATGTACTGGGTAAGCATGTTTATAAATGTATGTGAATAAGTAGGTACAAGTTCAACAAAATAAGTACAAATATTTAACTATGTTTCCTAATGGTAAACAATTTCATTGTTATATGGTGTTTGTGTATAAATTCAGTCTGATTGTTTAAGAAATAGTCTACGATTTAATTTTTTGTGGCAACCTTAGTGCATTTGATCACAGTTTTGTTTCATATATGTCGTGCCCACAGAAGAGGATAACGTTACATAACACAGATTTTAATAACTGTACTTTTTCATCTCAAAGTTTGTTTCATACACAAGTTTATTCCATATCAAATTCACTGTGACAGCAACCTCTCCTTTCAACTATGGAAGCCAGGTTTCATGGTTTGTGCCCCATTACCTCCAAAATTACAAACAAGAATCTAAAACCTGAACCTCCTATCTTTATTTGTTGAGATATCAACAAATTTGTCAAACCTACCAGAGAAGCCCCTTTCATTTTTTGAATTTGAATATTATTTGTAAATTAACTTTGCACGGTTGATGAATATTTTTATAGCCAATAAAAAAAGCATATTTTCCATTATGTAAATCTTACAGAATTTTTTTACCTATTTGTAGCATACTTAGCAAGTGGGATAAATTATGGTAATTTTGAGATTATTTTGTAGTTACTGATTTATTTTTTGTTTGAAAATGCATATTTGAAAGCTACGTTAGTTTTTTTTTTAACAATAATATTTGTGAGACTCAACAAGGCTTAGGGGAAAATATTAAATATTTTTGCTCAAGTACTAGAAAATCCTTTTTTATGTATTGTTATATAATTTCTAACAAACACAACTAAAATTTATAAATGTTTCAGTTTAAACTAACAAAACTTCATTAGAATAAAATATCTAAAATTATATTAGCTGGAGCACTGTTGTGAAATAATACTAGATCGGGTGTTGTTTATGTTAGTTCTATGGGAAATAGCTAATGTGCTCCTTTTACGATTTATTGCTTTTGATGAATGAAACAATACAACCATAAAATTAAAACAAAACTGTGAAAAGGTTTACAGTTGAAACTGTTAAGATAAATAACTTGGGACCTTCTGATTAATACTGCAGTCAGTTTAGAAGAAAAATTGGTATTTTTAATCTTTTCATTTCACTGATGATTTCTCTACAGTGTGTTGGGGTCGAAAAAAAAGCAGATAAAATACAGTTTTACCAAAAAACAAATTTGATATTCATTTAGGAGGTTCTAGAGGATATGAAAAATATAAAAACTGTAAGATGATAAATCATTTTTCACTGAGAGTGACTCGGGAAAAGCTTCAAAAACTCACAGGTGAATCTGTATTACAAATACATTATCAAAAACTTGGCTTTTTGTGTACAATAGATTTGTAATATTAACTAAATGAAGTGATGCATTATGACAGGGAAATGGTAAGACACTGTTTACCATGAAAAATATTTACATTATACAATTAGTTATTGATTTTACCAAAAGTATAAAAAAAAAGTTACACAACACTATTATATTCAAAAGGTTTGTTTTAATTTTGATTTTCTTCTTCACTTTCTATAAGATCCTTGTAAGAATTGTCTGAGCTGACAGCATAAATTTCTTGACAATGATCTTTTTCCTCTTCAGATTCTAAGGTTGTAACTTTTCTTGGCAGTTCTGCACTTTTAGTTTTTCTTCATTTCTCAACATTTCTCTCTCTTACATTTCAGTTGTTGTCATTTGCACCAATGATTAAAACTGACTCCATTTTTTTATGCATCACTGAAAGGCACCTGTCTGTTAACATGTTAGTCCAATAATCTTCAATTTAACATAATCTTGAAATGTTTTCAAGTTTTTGCATTTGGCTGCCATTTTCTCCATTTGCTTCACAAACAATATCACATGTTTCTCAACACATTTTCATAGATACATTTTTGCTTTCTTAAGCAGTATTTAAAATTATAATGTGACGTGTGACTGAATACAACCTTTCACGTGTGCGACAAGTAGTAAGTGTAATTATATGTGCCTGTGCATGCATTTGCAACTGAACACGTCAAACAAAAAAGGCTGATAAAACAAGAAAAGGATATTCAAAAAACAGCTGAGAGACTTATAAATGAAGTAAATACAAAGTTAGCAACTGTTACTAAGGAGAGAAACTTAAAAGGCAGCTGCTGTGGCTAAAGCAAAAATGAATAAAGCTAGAATACAATGGAAAACTTGTACCTAGCACAAAGTGTTAGGAGATACAAAACACAAACTGTCTGACACATAATATAAGGAGATACGAAACACAAACTGTCTGACACATTATATAATTAGCTTGGAAGTAGTAATAAGTAAAATATAAGGAGATACGAAACACAAACTGTTTGACACATTATATAATTAGCTTGGAAGTAGTAATAAGTAAAGTATAAGGAGATACGAAACACAAACTGTTTGACACATTATATAATTAGCTTGGAAGTAGTAATAAGTAAAATATAAGGAGATACGAAACACAAACTGTCTGACACATTATATAATTAGCTTGGAAGTAGTAATAAGTAAAATATACAACTCTTTCCATATGAGATCGACCAAAGTGACTGACCTTGTAACCAGAAAGTAAACATCATAATTTCCATAATATAACTTTGAATATGCTTTGTGTATCATCACAAAATTTGTCAAGTAAACATTACAAGTCTTTTTACTTTTACTAAAGATTTGTCTGTGAATATATATGGAGTCAGAGGGTTCACTTCTCCACATATAAAGTGATTTTCATGTTAAGTTTAAAAATATTTTCTTCATCTGACAAAATTTAAAATTTTATTTGCATAACCTCTAAAACATCCTAAATATATATCAAATATTTATTTTCAGTAAAACTTTATACTTGTCTGTTATTTTCTCTACCCAAACTTTATACTGACTTGGTTGATTTGAATACAAAATATATCTAAGCTACCCTTTTTTTCTTTATAGAATGACTGCAAATTGTAACTGGAAACTACAACGGTTTATCCTAAATAGCTTAAAGGTTATAACAGTCTACATCTGTTTAAACTTAATTTTACTGCCCTTTGAACTGTGTCTAATTAATACTTCCAACCACGCAAATTGCAAATCACTCGGTGAACACATAACTCACATTACCTTATTGAATGACGTGATTCATGAGCATATCTTGTGAATAATTTATATATATATATTTTATTATCATACCTAATCTAACCTAATAAGTTTCTAATTTTTACATTTTAGTCACTTTTATATTAATAAATATAGAATATACATAAAAACAAGAAATATATCACCTGTGACCTCTTTTTTTGCTCCCAGTCGCTGAAATTTAAGCCTACTTTTATATACTGATGGAACTAGTATACTAAATTTTTATTTACTTACTAAAAACACAATAATAATAATAATACACACAATGCAAACAATGTCCTATAAATATTATAATTTAACTGGCTTTCTAACTAAAACTTAAGAGCCTTAAAAAATTCCCCAAGTTGCTTCATCTGAATGCCACAACACAAACTTTAAAATTGAAGATGAAATTGACCAAAAACAATGTAAAATTATAAATCATTCAGTACATTAGAATTCTGCCTTTCTATTGGTTACAAATGATGTAGTATAAAATGTCAGAGAATCATTGGCAATTTGTGAACGAGAGAATGTGATAGGTGGGCGTGGTAAAGTGGGTCTGATTTTCTAGTTTATAACTATAAATAAATAAGATTTAAGGCTATAAAATTAGACTTTGCCTTAGTAATTACATACTTCAGAGTGCTACATTCATGATGTCAGAAAAACACATAGGTTCAAGAAGTCTTGATAGAAATGAAAAAAAAACCTATAACCCAAGCACTTTTGAAAGGTAGACCTTTCTTCTTCAGTTTGCTCCTGAAGAAGAGAGGTCCACTTTTCAAAAGCCTTCGAGTTATAGGGTTTTTATTCATTTCATACTTCAGAGTGGGGTGGTAAATAGAGAAGGGGGAAGACCTATAAAAGAAATGTCACAATTCTTGTACTGGGTAGATAGAGGATTTTTTAAAAAATATTTTCTTAGACACTTAAGAACTTAAATAATACAAAAAATTGATTTAACAACTAGGTTTTGATGCCGATTTTATTCATATACATTGAAATTAAAGTAGTTTAATTAAATTTTAAATGTAACTCTGTAAAAGATTGTAGCCTGTGCATTTTGATCTACTCATAGCAAAAGGGTTAATATACTAACAGTTTGTGTTCTGTCACCGTGTTTTTTGTACAAAGCTGATAGTTCCTATCTCTAAATCTATTGTTTCATTCTTGTTTGGAGTTATGTGACTTGCAAGTTTTAAGTAAAATTTTAATTTTGTTCAAGATAAGTTTCTTAGTATGTTTAGAAATATAACATGTTTTAAGGAGCCCTCTTTAATATTATTTTTTAACAGTTTTATGTGCTGCCCATTGTAGATGAGCAATTAATGTAATTTGCTAATCACTGGGTTCATTAATGAATTATCATTCAACTACGGAATTATTTTCACAAGACTTCAGTAGTTGAAATAACTGAAAATAGCAATAATTGGAAACAATTATGATTACTTCATCATTTTTGTGACATTAATTTGTGACTAATTATTTTAGATGACATTAATTGATGCTCGTAAGTAACTGAGTTAATCACCCAGCTGTACTGTCTATGTTTAATAGTGGAGCAGTTAATTTTTATCCTTCTAATTAATGTTAGTTTTGAATTCTGTTCTCACATTCAGATAGTTGTGGTGGATAATTTTTGCAATTGGTGTACTGCTTTATTTGTAACTCTAATGCATAACTTTCATCAGTTTAACAAATAATTTGGTTCCATGTTATCAGTTATGTGGTACACCAATTAGGAGGCTACATTGCATTTTCTTTACCCAAGGTATTTTTGTTTTGCTGACACACCAAAACAGAAAGAAACCAATACTTTGAAGTTTTGTGCTTTCTCCTGTCCCTCATACAGTACTTTCTTATTAAATTATAGCTGTAGTTTTACTAAGGTGAAGTCCTGCAGCAGTTCCCATTTAATGATAAAAAAACATATATACAAATAAGTACTTGTCACAAGATAAAGTAGACATCATCAAATATTTTTTGTATCTTTTTTTCTTTCAAGTTCTTCAGTCATACTGTTTATTAAAGCAGCTGTTGGTTATGTGTTTAACATATGTATAATTCATAACAAACGTTATTATTACAGCCTACCTCTTGTTATAGTGTTTCGATTCCCTTTCACTTCCATTGCTTAATGATACGTAAATATAAGAGCAACTGTTTTGGTAACTCCATGAGTTAAAGAAACTGTGAAATCTTATCACTGAGAGAAAAGTAGCAATACACTTTCAAGAAACAACTACCTTTTATTTGGAAACCTAACATCTAGTGTTGTAAAATGTGACAGTTAACAAATATTTATTACAGTGGTTGTTAACAGAAACATTTCTTTAAAAAGTATCAATTTGGATAAGTTGTTACTATGAAAACCTACCTGAAAAATCATTGCCAAATTCTGAATACAATGCATAGTGTGTAATAATTCATATAAATCATCCATAGCCTAATTTTGTTGTTCATAGACAACAATATTTTAAGTTTCTCTGATTCTGAGTACACTGTAGTAAATTTACTTTGGTGACCACAGAAGAACACCAAAATCTTGTATGATGAAAATGAACAATAAGAAATTTAAATAATGTTCTATTATGGCTACAAACCAGACTACAGGCTAGTTTTGAATTAACCCACATTATTGGCTGTTTTCACAAAAACCATTTTTCTCATGAGGTGGTAGTACATTTTAACTTACTAGTTTTTCTTTTTTAAAGAAAAGAAACGTTATTTGTTGCCAGGCTTAAAGACAATTTTGCGAGACTTCAGGACAGACCATCGGTGGCGTTTGTAGTAATATGCTACGGCTGTCAGCATGGAGAAAATCATCAGTGCCTGAAAGATTATGAAAGAAAAATTAATTTTGTTTCATAGCAAACAAAGTCCTTAAATGATTTTCAGAACCAGATGATCTAATACAGAAAACCATGCACAAAACACCTTGTACATTAGTACTGCCAAAGCGAAAAAACATATAATTAACCTTATTAAAACCAGTCCTTAATGGTAAAGATTTTCAATATTTTTGATTAACAGTAACCTATGTTATTATAAAACACAAACTTCAGTCCTACATATCAACTATTTTCCTGGCAACTGTAGTGTCAAACATTAAAATATTCACTGAAATCCATATATAGATGCATAAAAAAAATTACACCTTACAATAGGCTTATGAATAAATGAAACAACTGTGAACTTCAGAAAAATCTTTCAAAGTATTTTTTTTCTTTTTATGTGCTCACATTTGGGCTTTACTCCTTCATCAAGAGCGTAAATTTTCTGTAGTGAACTCCATCATCCAAATTATTCATAATTACATGCACTATAATCAGTCAGCATTATGTATTTGAAAAATGTAAATACAGTAAGCTCTCTTAAAGATGTGGATAATTAATGAATAAAAACTAGATGACACAACATTTACAATTACACAATACAAAACCTTTATTGAAGGCACCTGGCCTTTTCTAAATCCTTCTACATGTTTCGGTGGGTCACATAGGAACAGTGTTTTACTGATGATGGTGGGTCTGTGACTCACTGAAACATGTAGAAGCATTCAGAGAAGGCCTAGTGCCTTCAATAAAGATTTTATATTGTGCAATTTTAAATGTTGTCATTTACTGTTTATTAGGATTTCACATAAGGCCATCTTGATATTAACATGGATAATTATTTAATTACATTACATACTGTAGTAACTAATTATGATTGCTGATATAAGAATTAAGTACATTAAAATACACCATGTAATAATAAAGTTTGCAAATTTGGTTTGTGAACTTTTTCCCTGTTCACGTGATCTAGTTGCTTGTATTTAGACTGTATGTAAATAAAAATAACATTATTACTAGAGAATTAAAAAACTGTCAGTTTTTAAAAAATTACAGTAAAATTAAATAAAAATGCTTTTAACTGCTTCCACCATCCCTTGTAGAAATCCTTTTTTTCCAATTTATTTAATTGAGGTATTCTGCAGTTTGTAAATACCATAGTGATACTTTATATATATTAATTTATAAAATATACAAAAATATTTTATATAATTGTTATAATGCTGTTCTTTTGTTGGTAGGTTCTTTCTAATTATGTGGTGAAGATGATTCAAAGCTTGAACACCTTGGAAACTTGTAGTCAATGTTTACAAATGATGCTAACTGCACTATACTAACATAAAAATAAACTTACTAGCACAACTTCATGGCCTAAATGAAAACACATTAATACACTAACATAAAAATAAACTTACAAGCATAACTTCATGGCTTAAATGAAAACACAGTGATTGATTCACTCTGATGCCAAAAACAAGTCTTCTTGTTGCTTCACTAAATCTTAAATTTACATTTACCCTGAAATTTAATATCATGTGCCATCTAGCTAACATCTAAATTACATTAAAAATATAGCTTATAACAATATTTAAGGACAGCCTTTGCCTGAAAAAAGTGTATAAAACAAACCATTTTGTAAAATTATTTCTGCTTTTACCTAACCACTGTAACTCTACATGCAATGCCTTACACCCAAAATGAACAGATTTAAAATCATTCAGTTAAAATTTATCAAAATGATGTAATTTCTACTCAGAACCTTCTAACTCAACATGCAAACCTCTGAGATGCAGCTGTGTCATGTCCATTTGAAAAGAAAAAAAAACTTTTCACAAAGCACAAAATAATACCACTCTTGAAAAACACTGCATGTGTTACTGGATCTGCAGTAAACCATTTATACAAGTTACACCAATACTTTTTGGTAAGTAAAATTTCTGAATTTAGTAGTAAAAAAAAAAGTTTCCTAATTGATTCAGCCACAATATGATCAAAATTAGTAGTGATAATCATCTACTAAGCCTATAAACAGTCTTTTGTTTCTTATCAAGATCAAAGCTACAATGAACTATCTGTGCTGTGCTCACCACGAATATCAAAACCCAGTTTTTAGCAACGTGAGCCCTCAGACTTACTGTTGAGCCAGTGGCTATGAATAGTCATAATTATACATACATAAATGTACATTTAATTTAAGGATAACAAGGGACTTGTTGGTTTACCTAAATTGTCCCATCTTCTAAATAAAACTTTAAAATCACCCAATGCCAGCCATTATCATTCAATTCTCAGAGCCTTCTGGCCAGTATATAAACAGTTATAATTACAATTAGGAACCTTTTAGTTAGTTTATGAACAGTTAGAATCACTGCTCAGAACATTGGATTTATGATACCTTAATAGCCATTTTTTTCCTGTCATCATGCTCTGGTTCAGCAGCCCACTTCAGAAAAGTAGAAACATCCTTGGCCAACTGGCTTGTTGTGGCTGGGGTTCCATCATTATACTCAATGATCTCATTATACAGTGCTTGTGCCATTCCAATAGCACCCCCTGGAAAGTAAGGATTGTAATAGAGTCCTTCTCGGATTTCTACGCCTGCTGGTGGGTCACAATACCCAGTCAATAGGGAAAAGACGTAGTCCTATTAAAGAAGAAATAATACATTTAAGCATATTGAAATATAAAAAAATACAAATTGTGAAATTACTTTTCAAACGTTCTCTAATATTTTTTTACACTGAATATGAGTCAACTAAATCAACACAAGAAATTCCTCAAAAAACATTTATGGAGATAGTTTTTACATAAGTAAGTGTAAATAAGTCTAATAAAAGGAAAGCCTACTTTATGCTTGCTCAAAGTGTACAACATTTCATTAAGTAACATATCAAAAATATTTTATCGTTAAACATGATATAAAATTATATTTTACATAGCAATTACATTTAGCTTCATCAGTTTTAAACATTATTTCAAATTATTATCTTGTGGTTTGACATACTGTGTAATAACACAAAAAAACACTTAAATATAAGTCAGCCCAGATAGCTACAGACTCAGACTTTTATTTTTAAGTAGTTCTTGTTTAAATCTGTATTACTTGTTCTCAATATGCAGGAAAAGTTTTAAATTGATACAGATATGAAAAAATATGAGATGCAACAAAGTACTAAAACAAAACTTTATTCTCATCATGTGGTCTAAACAAATAAATAATGGATGAATGGGATGCACACAATCATACTGCTAAAAACAAACAACTTTCCATTCTTTACACCAACAGAGCTAAATATATTAACTGGAAAGATATTCATTATGTAGAGGTAAAAAAATTACTACATACATTCTACAGTTTTAGAAGGCTGAAATTGGATATAGGTGTTAAATTTCAATGTCAAATATGGTGCAAGATAAGACCTGCTAGTAATAACTATCTGTAATACAAATCTTTGAGTTTTAACTCTTTAAGGCCCAAGTGCATCAAACCAATGCACCTATTGTATGGTTTATTAAATTGCATTGTGAAAAGCAACTACTGGATGAAATAGTTTAAAGCTTCAGGTGAATTTTCTACAGAAATTTATCTTTGTTTGGACTTAAAGAACAAGGCACCCAGTTTCTTGAGAGTTTCCAATAACTGGCATACAATGAAAATGTTTTTTACTATGGCAAACTTTTAAGCGAGCTTTTATTTTAAATTGTTAATCAGCAGGTTTCATTTAATGCGTGTAATAAGTTTTAAACTTGTTTCAACTTAATTGGTATATTTGCTTTTACATTTCTTTTTGATTTTTTCTTTGTCCATTCAACTAGTTACTAAGGTCAATGTGGCCCAATGCAAAAAAAAAAGGCATAACAGTGGCCCTATCAGTAAAATGAAACCAGATATGGTCTAGAGCTGAGCGATTAGTGAAACTATCTAATTGATTAATTGTCAAGCTCATTAGTTGACTGCATTCAACTAATCAATCACCCACGTCTGAAACTTGGAAAGTTAGTAAATCAAAAATGGTAATAATTGGAAACACTAATTTTGATTAACAGAGTATTTCTGTGAGTTGTGACACTAGCTGATTAAACTGAACTACTTGAAAGTAATAATGAGAAATCATAATGGTAATATTGTCATTAGTTGATTATTTCATGACAATCAATTTAATCATGATTTCTAGGAATTAATTATTTACTGATATTTAAAAAAATTGTAACACCACATACAATCATGAATCGATAAGTAAATTCTGTGTTATGAAAACTGACACCGATTAACATACCTCACCACCATGACGAGCCAGGGTGATAAAGCTAAGGTCTGGAGGAAGTGCACCATTGTTGGCAGCTTTTGCTGCTTCATCATTTTCATATGGATTTGGAAAATAGTCCGAGAGTTTTCCTGGTCGTAAAAACATCTTTCCTTCTTCATCTGGACCATCTAGTACTTGAACCTATAATTTAAAAAATAAGTACTTTTAAAAACTTTCTGGAGTGATATAAGTATGTAAAAATATGTTTGTCAAGAAGCTTTCTTGGCTGAAGTTAATACTGGTGCTGTCCAACTGTGATGTACACTGACAAAAAAAAACATTAAAGAACAATTATGATTTCTACCATTACAGCTATGACAAGGTAAAACCACTGTTATAAAATAATGCCAATCTCCCCCTCCCTAATTCAATTTCATGCAAGTGAGGTGTCTAATGGCCAGCCATGTGATTTCATACATACAATTAATCATTCATCTGAGCTATATATAGTAGTCTCACTCAACCTTGTCTCATCGTCACTATCAACTTAATTACACAGTTTAAAGTACTCCAAATTGTCCATGAACCACAGCTAGGCTTCAAATAAGATATTTGAGTGTTTCACTCCAGTAGAGATGGAAATCCAGCCAATAATAGCACACTGTTCCAAACTGGCTAAAAGTATCTCAAACATCTGGACAAGGCAAGACCATCAACCATTGCACAATCAGATGACCAGTATCTGTTGCTTCTGGGCCATAACAATCATACAATTTGCTCTGAGACTGCATCAAATATTTTCAGTGAAAACTGGATACAGTTTCAATGTACAGATGGTGAGAAATATACTTCACAAGGTTGACCTGTATGCCAGACATCCAATGAGGTGTGCTCCACTACCAGAAATGAGCAACAGAGCCAAGATATGTCCATCAGACCAATAACACATACAGCAATATTCTTACAAATAAGGGCTACTTTACTTTTCAGCCAGATAACTGGCATTTACTCATATCGAGATCTATCCCTATTTTCATACAAGAATGTGATGCAAATTGCCATGGTGAAAGTATTTTGTGGGTGAAGTAAGTATTAGTGGTTGTACCAACCTCTACATGGGAAACATTCTGAGGTTTTGATTGGTTATATGCAAGTCAGAGAGTGAGGTAGGTGTACATAAGCATGTATTTCCAAAAATGTAAGAGGTGGGCAGGTCTACCTTGATTGATTCACTAAATATAATAAAATATCAGAAAATATAAAGAGATAGGAGGTAGTTGTTTTATATTCCAGCTTTTACTTTAAAATTAAGAAATTAACTAATGTATAATACTAAAATTTGAATTATAATCTATAGTTTGATAACAAACTTATTAACATACATTCAATAAAATTTTGAATGTTAGTCTACAAATGTGACGCCATGCCCTTTGACCCCTGACCATCGGAAGACCTATCAAGACAGTGTTAATAAGTGATAATGTCCACTTCCACAGTGCTAAACATGTTGTCACATTTCTTAAAAAAAGGGGGAAATTAACCAAATGAAATAGCTTGAAACATTGGTGCTAAGTTGCCTTATGCTGTTTGTGGTGACCATGCTTCACACTGAAGTAAAATGTCTCAAACAGTAAAGATGTAAAACCACCTCTATTAAAAATCTCTAAGAGCATAAAGCGATGACAAATTAGTTGCATTCCAAATCACATGATGAACCATCAGATGCCTGATTTGCATAAACATTGTGAAAGAGATGCTCAATTCCTGAGTTTAGAATCCAATAAATATGTATTATATATACATATATCATTATAAATACACTGCATATTTCTTAAGTTAAAGAAAAACCTAAACAGTTTCTGACTCTTAAGTTCATAATAGAATTCATCTAAAAACGTTTATGAATTTATCCAACTTAGAGAAATGTGATAACATGCATAAAAATTACCTGAAGGGAATGACTGAAGCTGTTTTATCAATGCGATTTTATCAAATAAAAAAACAGTATTTCTCATCTGCCCTAATGAGATGGCTGTCACTGCAGATGTGTGTGAAGAGAGTTATTGACAGTGGAACCTACTAAGACTTTACTGTACTACTCTGGCCATCGAGGATCCATGCTATGCTAATGATCTAGTGCTAATGATCTTTGAAAACCCTTACATGAAAGTTGTTATTGGAAAGTTTAATGAATTTAACACCATTCTTCAGTCTGAACAACTTCTCTTTTACAAGTTACAGTCTTCACATTTATAAACCAGTAAAATAACTGAAATAGATATGAATAACCTAGCAGACAACGTATCTACTGAGTCAGTATAACTCAAAAAACCTGTCAAGAAGTTTGCAGAATTGAAAAAATCTGACCCAAATCTTGATGAACAAAACATAGTTCATAGCACTATTAAGAGATTTTTAAAAGGAAGCTGTCATTCATCTGCTCATGTATTTTCCTTTCAAACATGACATGTTTTTGTTCATTTGGTAAGTCATTTGATCTAGTTTTTCTTTTAAAAGTTTGACTTCTCACTTTAGGATAAAACCATAATTGATCAGGAGTGGAAGAGTGCAACAACTCTCCAGTTGTCCAGTGTAATGAATATTAATACCACCGATACCCTAGACTACTAGCAATGGGTACTTAGCCAAACAACTGCAACAGGCCTCTGCAATTTCCCAAACTTAATGAAATTGATTAAGTTTTTTTAGCTCTTCCATTTTCAAATGTTGTTATTTAGCAAAATTTTTTCAATACTCAAAGAGATTACAATGGCCAAGGAGAATATTTTATCATTATTTACACTAGCCAAGACTTTTGTGCTAGATATAGACTGAGAGGAACAGGAGGGAGAGAGGTGGTCTCTAGCTGAACACCCAACTGAAAAAGTGGATGCTAGAAGTGTTTGTTTGTTAGTTTTTTTAATTTTGCACAAAGCTACATGAGGACTATCTGTGCTAGCCATCCCTAATTTAGAAATGTGAGACTAGAGGGAAGGCAGCTAGTCATCACCACCCACTACTAACTCTTGGGCTACTCTTTTACCAACAAATAATGGGATTGACCATCACGTTATAACACCCCCACAGCTGAAAGGGCGAGCATGTTTGGTGGGACGAAGATTTGAACCCGCGACCCTTAGATTGAGAGCCAAGCACCCTAACCACCTGGCCATTCCGGGCTGCTAGAAATGAAACCAAATGCAACTGCCACAGAATGTGAATTGTAGTCGACTCATAAGTGAAGCTATTTACCTCTTTGAAGCACCTCTAATTGTAGTTACTCTGAATTCCCAATTTTAAAATTTGTATCATTTATAATTGTTCAAAAATATGTGTACTTAGTAATAACTATGTCAAAAAAATATATTTAGTAAAACCAAAAAATATGACAATATTTTTGTGCTTATTCAATGCACGTTGATCAAAAATTCCAAATCTCAAGAAGAATGTCAAGAAACATACTAAAAAATATATTGATTTTCATAAATACTGATACTGACTAATTACTGAACTTTGTTTGCATGGCCCCAAAAAACTAATATAGTGAAGTGAAAACTGGTCAGTTTCATTGTTTGAAATAGTGGTGTTCAGCTTTAAGCAGCTAATGAAATTTTTTAAACCAATTTATAACTTAATTACAAAGCCAGTTACATTACCATAATTTGTGGGCATCTTTTTGTCGTGTCTGATGTACTTTTTGCATTCTAAAATGTTTATTTGAAATAAAACAGAATTATTTAGTGGACAACAAACATTGTCACAAAAATTAAGTTTATAGTGTTTTTTAAGTCAATTTTTTATTCATAATTATAAAAGTAACTAAATTGTAGCTCAATCGTTTGTTTACACAAAGCTGTCCTGCTGTGATAAATGGTTTTTAGCATACTCTGAGATGATCTAAGTACAGCTGTAAAGGAATAAAACTAGATGTGAATGAAGTAAAGTTTCACTTTAAAATGACCTTTTGATATTCATTTAGAAGGATGTACAGGTTATGCAAATTAAATATGAAAATTGTAAGATAAAAAGAAGTATTCTAATTCTTAGCATGAAAATCACCTTTCATTCCAACTGACTCAGTAAAGGTTTAGGTAATTGACAGACAAATCTTTAGTTTACATACTTTGAGGAGAAACATAGTAAATTTAGAAATATAGTAAACATTACTTCTCCAAAGCACCATCGGTCTAATGGATCAACACTGTAAACAGTGTTAATTGTTTTGTGCATCTTATGTCAGTCCTAATAATGACATAACTGCCAATTCACTTACAAATTTTCCCACTTATCAAGCATTTTACTCACTGGTCAACCACAGAGCTGGGCAATTAACTCGATTACATATGAGAATTGATTAGACTGATTACAATCAAAATTGGTGTTTCCAATTATTCCAACTATTCAAGTAATTAAAATACTGCCATTATTATTTACAATTATTATTTTTGATGAATTCAAGGTTGTTCAGCTTAATCAATTAGCGTCACAACTCACGAAAAATAATCAACTAATCAAAATTAGTGTTTCTGGTTATTACCTTGTTCAATTATTCCATCTATCTAAATCTCACTAGTTGAACGTAACTGATTAATTAGCTTAATGATTATCGATTGTTAAATTCCATTAATTGCCCAGCTCTAGTCAAATACTGTAGGTTGTTCAGAACCAATGGTAATGATTTGCACATCCTGTACTACACATATTAAAACCTCTAATCATTTTGATGTAACCTAATTGATGTGTGGTGATCTGTGAGTGCTGATGTCAACTAAAATAACCCCTACCGGGTGGGTTACATCACAGTATTTTCAAATTCAAGTTCTATTATAAAAGCATTCATTGGTAGAAAGGGATGCATTGTGTCGAACCACACTGGTAAAGCAATGAAAAGCATGATTCCAGCAGGGAGAGACAGACTACTTCATGAACAGCTACCAATAGCATGCTGGAGGTAATGGATAAAGTCCAATAGCTTGTCACCAGAAATAACTTACGAACACAGTGATCCATTGCAGCTAAAGTTAGAAACTCTTTTGGAACTATAAATTTGGTAATTTTCATGTCTACAAAGTGACTCAATTCATGTTTACAAGTTTTCCCTAAAGCACATAGCCTAACTGGAAGAATAGCTATTGAAAGCTGCATGAATGGTATGTGGAATATGACAAATGGAAGTATGTCATTATGCTGGATGAACCATGTACATATTTAAAGTGTTTTCAGTTTCAAAAATGGGCAATAAGTGAAACCAGAACATTAAGAAGTTATATTGAAGTTAACTGAGCTTATAAAAACAGCTGTTATAGTGACAGTCTCAGTAAACATTATCTGGTGTAAAAATCAATTTGACGTGATAATGAAAAATAACTAAATCTTTTTCTTACCTCTTCAGCTTCAGCTCTTGCTTCCTCTTCAGTAAAACATACTCCTACCAGGTTACGATAGGCAATGAACTTCATACTGTGGCATGCAGCACACACTTGTTTGTAGACTTCGTAGCCCCTCCGGATGCTAGGTAAAACAAGTGGTTAATCTTCATAATCGTTAACAAGCTTCATTTTACAAAGAACATGTGTATTTCAATAATTGTCCAGTTGAACCAGGTTTATTTCCAGTAAATTTTTAATTTCTTTCAGTCTAATGCCAGCTTGAGACTTACTTTATTCTAATTTTAATTCAGGAGATGGCAGAACTGCTCTATCAAAAATGACAGGAATAAAGAAATATTACTTTAACATATATTAATAAACCTAACAATAAGTAAACAGACACCAACTCCAGAAATATAGAATGCAGTTTTATCAAACAAACAAACCTGAAACAAGGGTTACAAGATTATCATTAGTATTCAGTGGATTTACTCTTTGCAATATTTAAGGTAGAAACATTGGTTACACATTGTAATTACAGTCTCAAATAGGTTATATTAAAAAACTTTCAATATTCAAATTGGCAGCCAATATAAAGATGCTATGGAATGGTATGTAACAGAACCACATTTTAACAATGTTTAGAATTTCACAGGTACTGTGATGCAGTGATTGCACTACAATTTTTGTCCATGTTATAAAATGCATGGGGTAAAAAATTTTCCACTTGTCTCTCAGGAGTTGCATTCAAATACTTCGCTACCACTTGTTTGCACATTGTGTAAAAATAGTTGTATGTAACTCCATAACTTTTTATACTAGGTCACCTTGAACCACATATTGGTCAGATAGAATGCTTTCCTACATGCCCTACGATAAACTAGACCAGTGATTTAGTATGTATGTGTTATTTTGATACTTTCAATGAAATTGAACCCAAGGGGCAACGATCAAATATATTGTTAACTGATTTAAAATGCAGATTTTCTGTTTTGAATTGTTTGCACATGAGTGAAGCACCTTCATATTGATCATGAATATTCATCAGTGCTATAAAGAGACATAATTCTAGACTAGATTTCATTTGAAAGTAATAATAACTTATGTAGCTCAACCAAAAAACACAATTCTAATTAGTTTAAAATTGACCTGTCCTGAGTTTGATTTGCAACTTGTAAAATTATTGTTAATTAACTTGACAATTTTAACTGATCTTAAAAAATATTACATTAGTTAATAATTTTAAATAAAATTTAATTCATATAAGTTGTAGAACTGGTCTTCATTCAAATATTTTTCCATTTAATAATACAAAAGAGTTCACATTGTACCATCTTGAATCTTTATTTTCAGTCATATTTAATGGAAAATTAATTTAAAAAACAAAAGTTACGGAGCAAAAAAAAAGTTAAACAATTTAACAATAACACAACACAAAATATTTTCAATGTCATTATACATCTGAAAGAGCACTAACACTGTGTCTCAAATAGCTTTTATGGATATTCATGTGTCTGTCTGCAGTGGAGAAGATCTTGATTACATGTTGTTAATCAAAATGCTCAACGTAAAACAAAATTCTTGAAACTAAATTACAAAATAAGTAGCATTGTATCATCTTGAATTCTTCTTCTTAGTCATATTTAATTGTAAATTAATTAAAAAAAAATAGCAAAAGGTAAAGAGCAGAAAAAAAAAGGTTTAACACTAACATATGGAAAATACCCTCAATGATATTATAATACACCTTAAAACGCAATATGTCTCTATTGAAAATTATGCATATTTAAACACAGAACTTGTACTTGTCCACAATAACAAAGATTCTAATTGCATATCTATAAGTTAAAATGTTTGAAGCTTGGCCCTTCCACATGTAAACATGACTGTATGTAACTCCATGACCTTCTAGACATGAATTTGAAAGCTGTCAAAATTATGTCACCCTGAACCAAATATCAATCAGGATGTATGCTTTCATTCAATGGTGATACCTTATGTAGATCACCCAAAAAATCAAATTCTAATTAGTTTCAAATGGACTTGTATTGAGTTTGACTTGCAACCTGTAAAATTAACTAATTTGATATTAACTGATTATAAAAATATTACTTAGTTAATAATTTGAAATGAAATTCAATGAAGTTTAATTCATATAAGTTGTAGAACTGCTCCTCATTAAAATATTTTTCATTTCTTAATACTTAAAAGTTCACACTGTACCATTTGAATTTTTATTTTCAGTCATATTTAATCGAAAATCAATTTTAAAAAAATCAAAAGTTACAGAGCAAAAAACCAATAAAAGTACTGCTATCAAACAGCTTCTTTGCGAGTTGAGGGTGTGATTATGAAACATATTGCTGAACATTTAGAAAAATTGAAACTGTAAAACAAAAGGGTGTATTTTTTTGTAAGTGTTTCACAACATAATAAAAATGATTAGAAAAACTAAATCAAGTTATGTGAATCTCCTTAAGCTGAAGCTAGATACTATTTACATATTTAGTAAATTAATTCTAAGTTTAATGAAATATGGTTAACTATTTTCAAAGTCAGAAGGTAAAACTCAAGGTATATCAGTGATACCCTCCAGCCTGGAAAGAGTTAACCCTATGTGCATAGGAATGGACCGATCCCATACTGAAGAAATAGTTTACCATGATTATGAACTGACTATGTGTATTAAAAATTCATTGGTGCTTGTGTAACACTCAATGTTAAAAACTCACTTTTGTAGATAATTCTAAAAATGAGATTGTTCCCAGTCTCAAAATTAAAACAAAATACTAAATTACTTCCTTTACAGTATAAAAGAAAACAACCCGATGAAACTGGAAACATTCATACGCTCAACATGTTTCAACATATTTTACTGCACAACCATTCTGAAGATCTTAGATAGAACTACAAACCCTACATTAATAGTTCTCTTTAAAATCTGTTTGTAAGGGTGGAATTGATAGTTCTCTTTAAAATCTGTTTGTAAGGGTGGAATTGATAGTTCTCTTTGAAATATGTTTGTAAGGGTGGAATTGATAGTTCTCTTTAAAATCTGTTTGTAAGGGTGGAATTGATAGTTCTCTTTAAAATCTGTTTGTAAGGGTGAAATTGATAGTTTCGGGTAACAGAAATTTTAGGGTGATTCCTTTTCTACTTTAAGAACTGACTGCAGACAGTGAAAGGCAGTAGGAGTTGAGATGTAGGTGTAAGCACTTAACTCCATACCTTTAATTGATTTTCCATGTTTGCTGGCTAGTTTAACATCACTGTTTGGATTCTGTCTGATAGATGGGATATCCCCAATGCATTTGAGTGCTATTACCACAGGCATTATCCGTTATGACATCAAGTTGACAACTAGGACCGGCAATGGCAATTCTACTGTAATGCTCATTTCATATTAAGTTCATTATTGTCTTATAGTACCGATTTCATCACCTATTAACAATTAATGTAACTAATAGTATTAAAGCTGTATGTGTGTGTGTGTGTGTGTCTCACTTCTGCACTGATCACATTATATTTGAGGCAGCCTCTTAACAACATGAATGCTCTTCATAGTTGTGAAATGAAATAAGCAACTGTATCAAATGAGTAAGTCACTAAACATACATTAAAACTTTATTAAAATCAAAACTTTCACAGGTATTCATTTTCATGGTTCCCAATTCTCAATATTAAGAAGTAATTTTTCCATTTTTAAAGGTTACTAGCCCACCTGTGACCCGTTGGGTCACCCACTATTCAGAGGTTATGAAGAATTCAAGCTAATTTCAATATTGCACCAAAATG